ATGGGAGTATCGTACTAACAACACGGCAACATGAAATCTTAAATTGAAAAAGGTGTGGTTTATGAATCACGTTATGGTATCGCGTGTTGAACTTAGTTGGGCCAAGAACGGTCATGATGAATGCATCAATCGGTTTGAACATATACTGGTAACAACAAAAGCGAACGAACGAATAGACGTCTACAGAAGCTAATGGTGCACACTTTTCACAGTAGAAAATCATGAAATGATTGCACAGCGAACAATCAGTTTGAATATGAGAAAGAAATATCAATGTTCTGAGTATACCCCGTAACAGATATTTCACTCATTTTATATGTTACTTCCTTCTCACTGCAATCGAACTGGTTTGTCTGTTTTCCTTGAATGGGTTAACACTGATGTGATGATTATGGCCAAAACAGTTGTATATTATGGTGGATGTCATATAATCAACTCTTTGGTTAGCCTAGCATTGCGACGGAATGGAGGAATATGTGGAATTAATATGGGATAACTGGGTCAGGAAAAGTTCCCCTGAAGTAAGGAAGGTAGTTTCGGGATAACTAGACACATATAGCTGAAAAAGGGCCGAATACCGCGTACAGTGTGCAGGTATTAAGCTGAAGGCGTCATAATATATTTAAATTTCTTTGATACATAAAGGATACAGAACGATTTATCTAAATTCCATTATAAATCAACAGTTTATAATTATAAACATTGGGAACAAATAACGGGATTAATCTACTTTTCATCGATCCGGTTTATTTTTTCACAAAACCGTCAAACAATTTCTATACTACTACTGCTGTGTCTCAGTTCCTGGAATTTACCCACTTTTTCGAACTCCCGAGGAGTGCGACATAGCCGGAGATTGACTGCACTTACCAAGTCTGAGGAGCAAGTGAGCCCTATGCTGTAATCCTTATTTCAGTTTGTGCAACTCATAGTTTTAGTATTTCACGCGGCGGTTTTCATTGCTGTTTTCCGGCTAACCCATTTGGAAGGCCAATAAAGAAAAGGATAAAACTGAAAGCGTAATGGAGAGATTGCGAGTTACTGGTACGTCAATGGACTTTGAACCAGGGCTGACAGTCATTCTATGATCGAGTAGATAGATCCTTCACAAGATACCTCGTCCAAACAGGTCAATGAGCGGCATCCATACTAAACCATTTCAAGGTGATTTCTTTCAACACTAAGAAAGCAATTTTAAGAGCCTCTTGTTCTTTTCGAAAGTCTTACATGTCCGCCACAAACGAAGCACTACATAAATCAAGTAAATTTTCCGTTAATTTAAGGCTGTTACTCCATACCGTGAAGTGAATCGTATTCTTTTGAATGACTATCCCCGTTCAAAATGCCATTTTCCTATTTGATCTGTAAAGGCCAGAAGATGAATCAATGAAAAGAATTCTTCGCCTCTAAATTCGTGTTCTCATGTAAAAATGGGCATATTCTGAATTGTATTCATCAATGAAATGGAAACGAAGTGGTCAATGGCTCACATCTGTTGCAACACCAAATCAAATCAGACTTTGTGGCGAAATGTTTCCTCATAATGAAAAACCAGTATAACAAACATACCTGAGTGTTTATTGCCTAAATGTAACTGGTTCACAGTATCTGTGAACATGGGTGACTGACTGCTGCTCATTAAATAAAAACACAATATAATGTCAGATCATAACTATTATTTTAGCAAACGGAACCCTAATCAAGTGCATTTGTCTGCAGTAATTAAGTCGAAAACGCAATGAAAATCCCATCTGAGATGCTATCGCAAGTAATCAAAAGTGAATACCAATAAAAGCCGTAAGAAGACATATGTCGCGAGATGTTAACATTTCGTTTAATCTTCTCAATCGCCGACGTAAAACAAACAAGCACGTTTAGAGCACATTAGATTTGTAATGAACGGACATGTACAGTTAGACAGGGACTACTAGAATTTAAAAAAAATCAGGTCAACTCCACGGCAAGTGAACTGATTAGATCAACAACTTTTGGGCGCATAGAACGGGATTATGTAATCGGATTAGCAACACCTCACTTATCGCCAACAGTTTTGCATTACAATTACGTAACAACGGTTTGAAAGAGGAAGCGGGATCAACCAAAAGGATTTACAAATTTAATGTGCTTGTTTGTTTGACGTCAGCGACTGAGAAGATTAAACGAAATGTTAACATCTCGCGACATATGTCTTGTTTCGGCTTTGATGCGATGGATAAAGGGGACCCAGTGTTTCAACCAATAAAAGTGACCAGAACTAAAGGTGGTAACAAAAAGAGATATATTCACTTCGCCGAACCGCTATTATAAGAATAAGATAAAACACTACCATTCACTCACCAGCATACCCTAATTCACTTGATCAGTCAACCATTATGTGAAATATCAACAAACTCAGCGTTTTAGGGCAGCCGTATTTGAGCGCATTAAAATAAAATCCAGGGAATGTATTCATATATTCAATGAACCCAAATTCCAAGTCACATCAGGCACGTGAGAATCATTAGCGCCAGAAAGATACAGGCTTCTGACGACAAAACGAAGAGCATCCAATGTGTAAGTTCTTTCTAACTTTGCCTCTTATTCAGAAGTTCATCTTGTGTAAGCGTGTTCAAGTTTTCATCTGGTTTCGATTTCAGGGCGTCCTCTTCTTCATTCTGAATTTCCTTCAAAATTTCTGGTGGTGGATCTTTGGCAGCCAGATATTCACCCTTTTGTTTTTTGAAACGTTTCTTGCGAAAATCCTTAGACTTTGTGTTCTCTGACACACTCCAACAACTCTAAAGCGAAATTTACCACAAAGCAATACGGTCTTTCTTACGTCGTCTCTCCAGCTGAAAACACTTTGTTTTTCATGATTTAATGTCCGATTTCCCACCGCGCTCTGGTCCTCAATCGATGACACCTGAAGCAAGGAACGGTGAGATATCCTTCGGGGATTAGGCTCAGGTGATTCGGCATTTCCATCTGGCATTCTCAACTCAGGTAAGCTGCAGCATGTCAGCTGGAAGTGGAAGAATCAATACCGCTATACTGAACTGATATTGATTGATTACCAGATCTTTTCAAATCGGCTCGTGATTTGCAAACTAAACAGCCAAGCAACAGCCAACACTGGTCTGAACATCACAGGAGAATCTGGTTCTCTTTACCACGGAACTACATTCTGTTTGCCCTCACAATTCAAGTGTCTGATCAAGATATTTCGGTTTTCATGCACCATGTGCATTTCTAAAAGACCTGCAATGCTATAGACTATTGCATTTTTATGCTTTCAATGCATATTTGGCCTAGGCTTGGAAATAACCACCGGTTTTGAGAAGAAAACAGTTCTAATTTGTATAATATAACGATCACCTTCAACATAACTGAATGTGAAGCCCCATACAGGAGGCAGGAACAACAAAGATAGTGCGTATTCTGTGGGTGATTATTTGTTCTAGAGTAAAACATCGAAATTTCGAATGAGGAAATCAGCTTGTCTCAACCACGTCCGTGAATGTAAACACAACAGACATCTACGGTATGCTGGTAACCGCCATTCGCCAAAGTTAATATTTGGCCATATGTTGATCGTGAACGAGGCGAATTGTTCCACACAAAGGGTCATATAACACCGTCACTTGGATCATGCACAACAGATTTAATGGGCCAGCATGACAACTAAGGGTTTAAGTTTGACCACGAATCCAACATTTAGTCTTATTCTAAATTTCGCTGGCCTCGACAAACACCCGAGAGGGTTTGTCCAGTGGCATGTGTAGCGCGGGTATTTATTCGATAGTGGACAATCAACTGACAATACGGCGACTACGTGAGCCCTTGATCGCGCGTCAGAGATGAACGGGATATTTTCAGTTCCAGTTCATACAACATTGGCTCTATCGTGCGGTGGTTTTGGTTGCTATTGTTCAGTAACCCATTGGGATGACAGAAGAAGGAGTAAATGGAAGAGTCAAAACCGGTAAACTCGACTTGGTTAGTTAGTTAGTTGGTCGAACAGTGCACGTGACACGCAAATATGCACACTCCAGACTACGGAATATCTTGAAAACCAATGTATATTATGTAAAAACTGACCTAAGATTAATGAGAAGACCGAATGGGGATCAAGGAAAGCCGTAAGATTGAAACGATAAATCCATCTATAGAAAATTGTTATCCAAACAGGTAATCATCACAGAGGTCCATCGACAAATTGATTCTAAATTAATGCTCTCGTTAATATTTACGTTTTTTCGTTAAAAGTCGAAAATAATTTTCTGCACCGCAAGGTCGTTGAGAAATTGAGCTGCAATTTAGGTCAATGTGATCGAGTTAGAGATCAGTAAAGGTTGAACAATCGGGTCTAGACAATAGAACAAATTCCACGTGGGAGAAATTCTCCTAGAATCAAAGGACGACAATGACAACCACAGGGAACCCTGGAGTCAAACCAATTAACATCATGTAATTCGAAAACACTTTTTTACTTATAAAAGTAAAAATGTGGATGAACCGTGGAACAATAGACTAGGAACAGATTGTCACGTTTATTATACAAGTTTGTACAGTTTGCTTCCTTGCTTGAGCACCGCACCTGCTTCGTTTAGCCGATCTAGTAATGTATCCACCGCTGCAGAAGCGAAGCCCAACCCGTCCGCAAGCGTTTGTATTTCGATCCGAGTGAACAGTCGGCTGTTGGTACGATTGGACGCCGTCTTGAGTTGTTTCGGTAAACGTGCAAGCGAAATCAGAAACAGATAACTTCTATAATTAAATGGTATTTTATAACCTACCGTGGATCAACGACATCTACCTATGAGGAAAACAAGTTAATTCAATGGAGAACTGAAAAACTGAGTACCAATAGAAAATATGGCTCCTGAGTAAGAGGAAATCTTTTGTCTAAGGAATGAGTGAAAACTACCGGAAGCCAAACAAAAGTTTTACCCGATAATCTCTGATCAACTGAGAAACGGATAAAATAAATTTATTTAATGTGATGCTATGTATGCGGCGTATAGAATTCTGTTCCATTCGATGTAGTGCGTGCTCTTGCAGTTGAACTATTTAAATCGCAACTTGATAAAGCATTGGAACACTTAAAATTTCGACATCCATGAGTGATCACGCAAATTGATATTATTTTATTTTTGTGAAGTTATTCAAAATATTCTGTAAAAATCCTATGGGGCATGATAAGCTTTAGCTTTGGTAAATTGGCCATAATAAAACTTTGACTTTGATTATATACGATGTGCTTTCCTTTTCAATGCTCACGAACAAAGAACAATAGTTCTTTTGTATTTGAGCCCAAAGCATTTCCCACCCACCGCACATTCCTAAAACTTATGTCATCAGATTCAATAGACATTAAAGGGATTGCATTACGGAACCTTCCAGGTACATACCGGATCCCCGACATTAGGAAGCGTAAGCATAATTAATATGATGAGAATTATACAGAAAGAAAAATCTTCTGATGAAAATCGAGATTCAAGGAAACTAACCTCCAGAGCAGACAGTAAACGTCTTGCGGCTGCCGGGCCGGAATTTGAAGTAAGACGTCGGGAAGTTTGTGGGATCGTTCGGGCTATTTGACTGAGTGTGGCATTTGCTGGAGTTTCACCGACATAACCCGTTCCAAGACCGGTTGCTCGCATAAGTTCGCAAGCATCTAAGGCGTCCTGGAATGGTTAGGGATTGAAGGAGATTACAATCGAGTACATCAAACGTATGCATGTTCGGAAAAAGAAACGCGGGAAACGATAGTGACGGAAGCGCATACACACACCTGTCTCGTAGCCTCCTCGCGTAGTTCAGCTCGAGCCCGAGCTTCTGTCAGGCGTATTAACGATTCCAACTGTCTCATGGTGACTGGAAATGTATCTCGAGAGTGCCGATTCCGACGTAATTCCAAGTAAAAATCACGTAAAGCCGAAGCGGCCGCATCGGACAAGCTGAACTTGGGAAACCCAATAAATAGAGGTTATGCATAAATAATGATAAATACGTAAGTGTTGAGTACAGTTTTTANGATGCATGTAACATCGAAAAAGGGCAGTAGCTGAAACACTGCAATTTTATCGAAGTAATTATTGTATCAAATCAACTAGTACTGAGTTTCACGCACACAATACAGTGAATTTTCGCCATTTTGGAGGAGTAATACGGCAGAATCGCGTACATTAAACGAGAAGCAAGGGAAAAACAAACAACCGTATGCAATAAAAAACAAACGCAAGTTCATAACGATGGTTGGTCAGTTTACCAAGATACCATCAAGATAAGAGATGATGCTAATTCGCTAACAGTAGCAACACGTACAGAGGTGAACCTAAATTTGGAACGAGGTGGATGAGCAAGTGGACAGTGTTCATCATTTTACAGTATACGGATAGTAAACCCTGGGAAGGGGTGAAAAAAAACAATGAAGAAAGAAACTTAACAATCTTAAACTAGGACAAGCGGTTTGAAATGAAAATTCTGTGTTTCAAAAATAAATGCACACTTCACTTGCAACCATCACTTTCATTCCTAACAGCTAAATACAATCACAGAATAGTGTGCACTTGTGGCTGCTCTCCCGAATTTAAAAGTAGAACAATGAAATCCGGACTCAATCAAAAAGCTATTCAACATATTATAGGTTTATAGGTTTGTAAGAGCCAAATAACACGATGGTCACGTTAGTCGGTAATCACCTGTATAATGCATCATGTTTAGATACCCTCCTATGAGGACAATAGACCTGTAAGGTTAATCACACGAGATCCATGGATGGAACGGATCTCACTCGAAAACTTGGGCATCGTGCTCATGGTGATTGAGGAAATTAGCTTGTCTTAGCCACGACGAATGAAAAAAAAACGCCTTGTGTTTCGGTTTTTCATTCGTCGTTGCGAAGACAAGCTAATTTCCTCAGACCAATAAGGATTACAGTCCGGTGTTAGCGAGTATCAGAAGATTGGCCTGTTCTCTTCTTTCTTTTCATTTTACTTCCTTTAATTGCATATACAAAGGTACAATTTTCAGGAAGGAGTAAGCTGCGAATCAAAGGGCTGCCATTTACCACACAATGGGGGAAGTCAGGCGGTGGTGGAGGGATTGGAACACATACCCGGGGTGATAATTTGGCAACGTTACTACCGTCTACGTCGGATGAGCAGCGATTTAATTGTCCACTGAACCATGGTAGACGGGTTCCTTCCGATACTGACAGGATGTTTTGCCCGCTCGCGCCATGGAACACATGGATTTAGACATCCACGTGGAGGCCAGCAGATGACGCTGAGACGAGGCATAAAGAAATGCACAGAGCGATTAGGTAGAGTAGGTGTCTCTCGTCTTCCGGGTTGGGGTCCAAAAGACTCCGAAACCGCATAGTTGGAGAAACTGAAGATCATGTCTGCGAACCGACAGCAATGGCGATCATGCTGTCGCTTCTTATCAGACCAGAATGCTTGAACTAGTATGTATGCACAGTTGGGGTGTGTACTCTGTGTGTTGAGCATAGATGTTCGCTTTCTCTTCCCGTCCCTAAAAATAGGCCCAGTCCCTGTCCTCTTTACGCATTCTCACTTATCTTGTATGTATTATCCATCATGACGAGACTGCACCTTGACGTGGTGTGATGGCTTGTGCACCTCTCTGACCCAACACGCTACACAGGATGGCTTTTTCGAGCCAAAGGTCTAATCATGCCTGGAAGGTCAATGGGCAGAGGTCAGAAAAAGTCCAATCTCCTGGTCCTCCGAGTTAGAGGTTCGACTTGAGCTGGCGTCTCAGTCAGTAGAAAAGTAATTGATCCAAGTTAATGGGCCTCCAACCCGCTTTAACTGCTTCCTTGCGGTTAGGTTCTTGTCAGAACTAAAGGCTTTGGTTGAGAACCCTAATCGTTCTCCTGGCTAGTGGCTGGACTCTCTGGCAGTACTCGTCCATAAAGCTCCAATGAACACAAACTAAAAATAATTCCATACTGCATCGATCGTCGCGCAGGATAATCAGGACCGCGCTGCCCATTGCATCGAGTGGGGTGGGTAGTGATAAGTGGGTTACCGCTCAAATATCCCAACCTTTGTTTGATTCTGTCATCCGTACCCTTTACCCCTTCTTCCGACCCGTAACAATCCCTCAGACAACTTGGTTGTCACTCGCCAAAGGTCGTTGCCAAATAGCACTGTAACTAGTTTTCCTGTAAACGAAGTGCAGATTGTGAAGCTTCGTCAACCTCTCAATCTGGGGGACTTCAATGTGACGGCTCTGAGGCGGGTGGATCAACAAGCGTGTCTTGCGCGTACGTTGGAGTCTCTAGAAAGTTATGTCTGTTGCCTATCGGAGACACGAATTCAACATCCTAGTATCATAAACCACCTTAGCGCGCCGGGTCTGTCCTTGAGGGATTTCCATCGTACATCAGGTGACGATGAAGCCCACTCACTGGGTCAGCATGGTGTCGGAATCGTACTAAACAATAAAGCTGAAGCTTCACTGACAGTCTAGATACCCGTCAATAGTCGTTTGTGCGCAATGAGGCTTCAGGATTTAGTTAGTGTTCGGAAGGGTAGCAACAACAAAAGGTGTTTGTTCATCATTTCCACGTATGCACCAACCAACAGCAGTCCCACATCACAAAAGGAGGAATTCTACGACAAACTCGCCGAGGTCAATCGGCTGAGCCGCAGTTCTGATATTACAAAGGTGGCAGGTGATTTAAACGCGCAAGTTGGAAAACTGAGCTCTCACCAAGCCTGTCTAGTAGGGCATTTCGCCCTCCCCTCCCAGTGAACAGACAACGGTGATCAACTGCTTCAGTTCTGGTGGATCATCCGTTGTTTTTATCTAGCACCAATTTTCAATACAGCTCTCGTCGAACGGCTACATGGTATTCTGGTTCTACTGCAAAGTTGATCCAAATTGACCACATAGCTGTAATCTACCGTTGGTGCGGTTCAGTACAAAACTGCAGATCCCATTGGACCACCTCCGTTGAGTTGGATCCTGCACTGGTCCTGTGGCGCTTCATTCTTCGACTCATCGGCAGAAATCGCCTGCTCAGTTAGCTGATCATTGTCTGCGCACTTTATGCGGATAAGCTGGGGCAGGGGCCGGGAGAACCCTGAATAAGTGGAGTAGATCAACATTAGGATCAACTTAGATTCGCGATACATTCAGCAGCAAAGTTTAGTTGTGGGACCAAGCCCGAAGTTCGCCGAAGGCATTGGACCTCTCACGAGTCAGTAACCCTGACGGATTAGAAACGAAAGATCCCAATCTGCCAGGATCAGCATAGAGACAGGTGGCGCCAGTAACGTCAACTCAGGAACACAAGAAGGATCGATAAAATTGGTGGGCCGAAATAGCTAGTGAAATGAAGATAGCTTCTGCATCATGGAATAGTCAAAGACTGTTTCACCTGATACGCAGCACCGGAAATCGTTGCGTACCGGTCAGTGAGACCATTTACGATAAAAGTAGACAGAGTATCCACAATAAAGAACAACGACTTGATCGATGGATGGAGTAATTTAGTGAACAGCTCAATTGGCCTAGTGTTAACACGGTCATTCCAGCAATTGCAGTGGAAACCCCATAGGTGGAAACATGTGAACCCCCATCGAAATTGGAAGTACGAAGCTGCATTCAATCACTAAAGAAAGGAAAGGCTGAGGGACCTGATGGGCTTCTTTCTAGTCTTTTCAAAATGGGCGGTGATTCTCATATCGACTCAATCACTAGCTTACTTAGCAGTATTTGGACGGAGGAGCGTGTCCCTTCGTCGCGGGTGATCGTCCCGGCCCTCAAGATGGGATCACGCAACGACTACGCAAACCACCGCGGGATTGATTTAGTTACGGTAATCACAAGAGTATTGACTTCCATGATCATTTGTCAGCTGAAAACCTTAAAGGAGATGAATATTCGCGAAAAGCAAGCCGGATTTCGACCAGGTCGCCGGTGGGTCGACCAAATCTTCACTCTGCGTCAGGTCCGAAATCCTCAGTATGGTCGGGGGTGGGTGTCTAGGGTTGTGACTGGTCACCCTTCCCTTACACCTCGCGAAATGCTCCCATAGGACCAAGCGTCTCAAACAGCTTCTGCTGAGGAAGCCTT